GTTTGTATCCGGAATGGACGTCTGGAGAACCGGACGTGGTCACGTTCCCAGCGGCGCGATCAAGCACAATGCTCAAGCATCAGCTCAAAGAGCGCGATGTCGATGGGATCACGGTGATCTTGAATCGCCTGCAGTCCCGAGACGCCCATGTGCGGGAACTCGCTGCCGAGGACTTGCATACGTCCGTGGCGACGCTTGCGCGCGAGCTCACGTCGGAGACGTTTGCTCGGTTTTTGTCCGACTTGACGCCGCGGCTGCAAAGTTTGCTCCAAAGCTCAAACTTGGTGGACCAGCTGGGAGGGATATCCGCCGTCGATGCACTCATCCCTGTGGCCAGCGAAGCGCAGATCATCCGATTTGCCAACTACCTGCGCAGCTTCTTCGTCACGTGTGAATCCAAGGCCGGGTTGCGTGCAGCCAGTTGGACCCTAGGGCGGCTGGCGTCGTCCACCGAGAACGGCATCAGTGGCACTTTGGTCGCTGCGTTCGTTGACTTTGAAGTCAAGCGCGCGTTCGAGTGGCTGACGAACCCGTGCTTCCAAGCGAACCACCGACGTTTGGCCGCATGCATGGTCCTGCAAGCGCTCGCATCTGCCGTGCCGACGCTCTTCCACGTGAACCTCACGACGTTCTTTGTCGCGATTTGGCCTGCCATCCGCGATCCCCGCGTCGACGTCCGCGATGCTGCCACGGTACAGTCCTCGACACATGACGTGGCGCACCTCTGGACACCGCACTTGCATCGTGGTTTCTGCATTTTGGTCGATGTTTCAGATGAGATTTGTTTTTGCCTGCACTTTCCAAACAGCGTGCTTCCATGCAACGTGGTCGAATGGCTCGGATGGCCACGGCACAGCCGCGCCGCCTTCTGCCCACCCGATCGGGCACGTTTGGTTCGAATCCCGTTTGCATTGTGTGTACTTTGACGGCCATGGAACGCACCGAGCTGTGCGATCCCCGTCATGGACCTGCCATGCCTCTGCGTTCAGTCTGCTGCACCGTGTGCTGATGGTGGCTGTGTGTGGCATCGACGTGGTCGTGCCATCTCTCTCGATGACGCGGCGGCGGTTGTAGGATGCGTTGGCAGCATGTCTCCAGCTCATCGCGATGCGCCAAACGAGGCATCGTGTGCAATGGTACTGCAAAATCTACGACCAAGTGCAAGACGGATTACATGTCGTGAAAGGTATGGCCTCGTCGATCGGTCGAGCAATATACGTGTGTGAGAGAGCGAGAACATGCGCGGCGGGTCGCTGTGAATTGAGTCTGCCGTGTTTGTAGGCGCGCCGTCGGTGGTCGTAGCCAAGTCGCCTTCGTGGGAAAGCATCCACGGGTCGCTCTTGGTCATTGGGCAATTGGTTCAAAACACGGGCAGCTTCATGGTCCCTCGCTTCCGAGAAGTAGGTGGAGCGATCGCGCGGTTGGTGTGTCATCGGCTTGGTAGGTGTGCGACATTGTGCTGTGTTACAAGGACGCGAAAGACAAGCTCGTGGCGCGATCGGTGTGCCTCCTGCTTCCCCAACTCGCTGCCTACTGCCCAGGTACGTCGCCGAGTGCCGTCAGTAGCGCATCCCAGTGGGCTCGCTGCGATCGCCCTTGCGAGCACCTCTTGTTGGTGAACGCATGGCATGGTGTGTGCTCTTCGTGTGACAGTGTCTTGAACTGACCACGTCAGGGTTGGTGTCGTTGTTTTTTCATGTTGAACACCATGGGCAAGAAGCGCACGGCGGCGCTGTAGAGTCCACCGTGGGCGAATTCTTGTTGGGATCGCGCGATCGCTCGAATGCGATGCGAGCTGTGGATGCGATGGGCGGAGCGCGCTCTCCCATGCAGCCATGGTTTTTTGTGTGCACCGACACGAATGCACGGAGCTTCCGCCAGTCGTCGGAAGACCGTGTTTGGGCATGGAATTTGTTTGAATGGAAGTGGCGGCATCGACGATTGCGATCTTTCGAGTCGGTGGACCAAACTCATCGTCGTGTGTGATGCAGATGCCTTTGTGCGCCACTACTTGAGCATTTGCGTGGCCCACTTGATGAAGCGCGTGACGACATTTCTGTCTGTGAGCGAGCGCGGGATCGCGTTCCTGGCGCTGGGGGAATTGGCGCTTGCGGTGGGAGGTAGAATCAAACCCCATCATCCCACGCGCTGTCGCTTGCAATTCGAAAATGTGCATTGTAGACCAGTTGGTTCCCCAGCTGCCGTCGATCATCGAGCTCCTCCAAGACGGGATGAAAAAATCCAAGTACTATTGCATCGAAACGCTTGTGTGTGCCGCACACTTTACCAAGGCATGCACGGTCGCGATGGAGCCGTACTTGCCGTCGCTGTTGGAGCAAATGCTGGCCGGTGCCGTCCCCACATCCAACCGATCGGCTCATGCGCTGGTGGTGGTGGTAGGCGGGCTGAACGATGCGTTGGTCGAAGCGCTCACGGAAATCATTCAAACCGTGCCTGCCGTCAAAACGTGGGTCCAAGAACGGCTTCTCCACGAAATATCCCTCGTCCTGCGACGTACGTGGACCAGACGATCGTGGTGCATGTGGCAGGGCGTGAGTGTTGTCGCAAATGGGCAACTCGGTCGACGGTGTGGCGCGCATGGCACGTTGCCTGGTCGAGGGCAGGAGCGGGCTTTGTGGTGCCGTGTGTTGGTCTGTCCGTGTGTGCAGAATTGTGGGGCGTCGCTTCTTGGTCGATGCGAATCGTGTGGTTGCGCGCTGTGGACGCGTCGTCGGCATGGATGACCGATTTCACGCGCTGCCATGTCAAAATGCCGCGACTTGACATTCGATGCATGTAGGTCCGGCAGCACCAGCCGCGGACGACGTACGCCGAGGCGGTGGGTTTTCAACGTTTTCGCTGCCATTTCGATCCGAGGTACGAGGCCTGTCGTTGCGTGCGCCACCTTGACACGTGCTGCACGACACGTAGAAACTCGACGACAAGGACACGACTGGCGCCCACATGAGCGACGCGATGTTGCTGTTGAGTTTGAAAACGCTGGGCCAGTTTGACTTTTGCGGCCCGTTTTCGATCCTCCCGTTTGTCCAGGACAACGTCGCGGGGTTTCTCACGTACCCCGACGTCGCGATTCGAAAGCAAGGTATCGACGCAGCCACCGTAAACGTGCTGCATTGTGGACCATGATCGCGTCGGCATGTAGCGGTGGTGACGTGTGCCAAGCTGTGCCACCCGGACCCGGCCCTGTCCAAGCGCGGCCGCAGTGGCCACATGATTGATCAAGTGCTCCAAACGCTGCTGCAAGTCGGGTTGACCGACCTCGACTGGACAGTCCGAAAGAGCGTTGTCGAGTCGCTCGATCCGTCCTTTGACGCGTGGCTTGCCCAGGAATCGCACGTGAACCTCCTGTTTTACCTTGTCAACGACGGTGCGTCGATCGTGGGTCGATGCCGCGTCCACCAGGGACCGTCGTCGTCACGTTCATGGTCTTCTCGTGTAGAGCATGCCGACATTCGAGAACTCACGATGGACGTGCTCGACCGGTTGGCGGGCCGCAACCCAGCGTACATTTTGCCGCTGCTTCGACGAGTGCTGATTCAGGTCCGTGGGGGAGTTTGTGGGTGGGTCGATGATGTGAATTCGTGTGGTTGGGATGGTGTCGGGGAATGTGTGGAAGGATTGCGTGTGTCGCGCGAGAGAGAGAGAGCGATCTGCGCCGACTGGAGCACGCCGCCACCGACGTCAGTGTTGTGTGTGTGCTTGGATGTTGGCATGTAACCATGCGTGGGTTTGTTTGTTTTATGGTGTGTGTCGTCTCGGGTGAATTCATGCCGTGTGTGGTTGTGTAGTTGCTGACCGAACTCGACCATGCGCTGGACCTTCGATCGATGGAAGACAGCACGCGGCTGTTGTCGAAACTCATTCGGGGCTCGCAACACTTGATCGAGCCGTACTTGAGTCGCGTCCTCGACGTGCTCGTTCCAAAGTTGCAATTGCAGGGCAACGCAAACGTGGCCAGCGCCGTCTTGACTGCGCTCGGGTCGCTCGCGCAAGCGGTGCAGACGCAAATGGCGCCGTTTGAACCGATGCTGTTGCCGCTGATTTTGGACGCGTTGCAAGACCACAGCAGCTTGGCCAAGCGCCATGTCGCGTTGGTCACGTTGGGGCAACTGGTACGTCCATCGATGTGTTTTGCCTTTTTGCGTGGCGGTGGTGGTTTGCCCAACGACCGCCGCCGTCGGACGTGGCGACGCCGTCGTTTTTGTGTGTCGTTTGGAGGTGCGGCGTTCAAGGTGTCTGGTCTGCGCGGCACGGCTTTGTTTTCACGTCGACAACGTGCTCGTCGTTGTCGCAAGTCCTTTTGTTGGTGTGACGTGCGTGTGTGGTGCAGCCACGACTTGGGCCGCTTGCAACGGACTTGTGCGGGCCGTCGTTGATCGAGTGACCATCGAGTAGACGACGAGCACGGGCAACGTCGTGCAGCCGTACGTGATGTATCCCAAAGTGCTGCACGTGTTGTTGGATTTGCTTCAACACACGGCCGCTACGCCGTGGTCGCTGCGGCGGGAAGCCATGAAAACGATGGGCATTTTAGGTCCGTCGCGTCGCGCATGGAGGCGTTGCCGATCCCGTTGTTGTGTAGGAGCGCTCGACCCGTACAAGTACAAGTTGTGCGTGGCGCGTTCGCCGACGTTGGAGCTTCCGTACGTGTGCTCTTTGTGCTGCGCGCGAGTGGCATGTGGACACTTGTTGTACATGCGACTTTTTGTGACGTGGTTTGTCGGTAGCGACAAGCCGCTGCCGTCCACCATGGACGAAGAAAAGCAGCAAATCGAGCTCCAGCTCTTCACGGCGCCTCCTGTCGGGACGCGGCGGCGCACCAACGTGGATGTGGTTGTGACGCCATCGACGACCGCCGCCGCCGCCGAAGAGGATCCGATGCACTTGGCGTTGCAGCACAGCCCCGCAGCGCCTGCGCTGTCGGTGTCGGACGACGCGTACTTTCCGACGGTGGCCATCCATGCTTTGCTCGGGATATTGCGCGAACCGTCCCTGGCAGTGCACCACTACGGCGTCATCCAAGCCATCATGTTTATCTTCAAGTCGCTCTCGTTGCAATGCGTGCCGTTCCTTCCGTCGATCGTGCCGCCATTCTTGCACGTGTTGGACAAAGGTTGTGTGTCTTGATGTCCCGATTTTTTTGTGTTGACCAATTTGGGTGGCATGCCAGGGGAGCCGCGGTTGCGCCATTCGCTGTTTTTGCAACTCACGGCGCTGACGTCGATCGTGCAGCATCACTTGAGTCCGTTTTTTCCCGCGATGGTGACGCTGATCCTTCGCCACTGGCGCGCGCATTTGAGCCCGATTTTGCAGCTGATTGAGGTGTGTCGTGATTGTTATATCGTTGTGGATGCGATGGTGTGTGTGTCGGTAGAAACTGGCGCGCGCGGCGCCGTCCGACTTTAAGCAAACGTATTTCCCCATGCTCCTGCCACGGCTGCTCGAAGTGCTGAGCCCACAACCATCGTCGCACGGGTCTGGGATCGTTCTCGCTCCCGGCACGCATCCGAATGAACCGACGCCGCCGACGCCACTCCACCCGACCATGCCAGTCTCGTCGGCGGCGTCGGGCGCGTCGGCTGTCGACCACGGCGGCTCCCCCGGCGCGATCGTAGCCGATTTGGAAGCTCCAGACAATAGCGGGTACGTGCTGCTGGCGAGTGTTTTGAAAACGTGGGGTGAATCATTCAGTGTCCCGTTTTCGTTGGACGTGTCGTTGTCTTGTGCGATGATTCCATGACTGGTTGTGGCAACGCGGTGGATCGAAAGAGCCGCCGTACATCCGTCGTCGGCATGCCTTGTGTTGTCGAGTGTGCATGGGCATCGAACCCGCCGCTGGTTCATGATGGCGCGTGCGTCGGGCATTCGATGACGACGCAGTAGGAGTGGCATCGCGTCGTTGCAAATCCAAGTCGTCCACGTGCTGCTGGTGTGCGGGCCGGCAGTCGTCGACAGCGTGTTTGTGTTGATGCCGGCATTGATTCGTCTCTTGGAGCATGCCGACACGTCGTGGGAAGCGAAGACGTGGATTGTGGGCCTTCTCGCGCACCTGACGCTGCTCGCGCCGACATTTGAGCACTACATTGGTCCCAGGTTGTTGCTCGTGGTTCATCGACTGTTGCGGCTCCATACCACGACGGAAAAGGTCGGTTCAAACACCAAAAACGTTTGCGTGTCGAGCGCGACGCGACTTGAAGCTGCCTGGTAGAATCGAAAGTTTGCCGACGCGGCCGTGTACTTGTTGGGCGCGATTGCGTTCCAGCTGCAAGACGGCTGGCTCAGCTACAAGTCGTTAATCGAGTCGATCCTTCCATTCGTGCCATCGCCCGACCACGTCGCCGCGATGCAAGCATGGTCGGCCGTGCTGGCTGACGACAAGCGCATTTCAAAGGAGCTCGTCCAACAAGTGTTGACGCCGGAGCTCAAGAGTTGGTACACGGCTGCGTCGTCGTCGGCCACCCCATCCCCCGACGTCAACCCCGCCTCCAACGCCAGCGCCATCCATGTCAACCAGGCCAATTTGAAGCGTGCGTGGGAAGCGTCGCAGCGCTCGACGAAAGAAGGTGAGGCCGCGTGGACATGATTTTTCGTGTGGTCGCTGGGATGGGGGACTGGCGGCAACTCGCCCAGATTTGACATGTCCTGCGTGCGGCACGCGTGCTCACGTCGTCGCCATGTAGATTGGCTCGAATGGATGCGTCGTTTTTCGATCGAACTCTTGCGAGAATCGCCATCGGCTGCGTTGCGGTATGTGTGTGGGGTCGTTACCTGGTCGCGAGACCAACTGTGGTCGTTGGCAGGTCGTGCTGCTCGTTGGCGCAAGCGTACAATCCGCTGGCACGAGCGCTTTTCAACTCGGCGTTTGTGTCGTGCTGGAATCAATTGTACGTGGTCGTTGTGGCGCGCCGCTGGGTGCCGGCGGCGCACGAAATGCAACTCACTCGTCGTGGTGTAGATTTGAACAGTACCAAGACTACCTCGTGCGCGCGCTCGAAACCGCGTTTCAAAGCGATACCATTCCAGCGGAAATTTTGCAGACGTTGCTCAACTTGGCCGAATTCATGGAGCACGACGTCGAAGCGCTGCCGATCGACATTCGCGAGCTCGGAGAGCTCGCGCAAAAGTGCCATGCGTATGCGAAAGCGCTGCATTACAAAGAACTCGAGTTTCACACGTCGCCGTCGACGTGCATTGAAGCGCTCATCTCGATCAACAACCAAGTGGGCCAGCCCGAAGCCGCCGTCGGCATCTTGAAATATGCGCAGTGGCACCACCGCAGCGTCATTCAAGTCAAAGAAAGCTGGTTTGAGAAGCTCCAAGATTGGGAAAACGCACTCGAATTGTACAACGTCAAGCTCGTCGAGGTATGGTGCGATTTTTTCGTGGCGACGTGTTGCTGTGTGTTCGTCGTAAAAGTCGTTGGCGTCCATGTGGCGTTCTCGTTGGAAACGTGGATTGCCGCTGCGTGTGGAATGACGCATCGTGGCGAGTCGCGGTAAATCAACGACATGCCGCGTGGTGGCTGCGTGCTGGCCAGCGAGACTGCCGTGGACGAGGCATTCCTGTGGACATGGCGTCGAGACATCGGCCGACGTGACGACGTGTTTGAGAGGATGACGACGCCCATGTGTCTGGACGCGGCGATCGGTGGTTGAGTCGGCCACGTGTGCATAATCTGTGCAGTCGGGAGAGCCATTATTGCATGGGGGTATCAATTGCAGTCGACTCATGCTGGTCGTGCCCGTAGTCGCCCCACGATTTGGATGCGTGCACGGGGAAAATGCGGTGCCTGGAAGCGTTGGGCGAATGGGAGCAACTCGCGAGTCTTGCCAAACAAGTGTGGTCCCGTGCTGTGGACCATGATAACGCGTCGACGGCGGGCAAAGGGCTCAAGAAATCGCACGTGGATGAATCGCTGGTGAAATCGGTCGCGCTGTTGGGGGCGCGCGCGTGTTGGTGGCTCAGCGAATGGACCACGATGGAGCAGTACGTGAGTGGGGTGTTGACGTCCGGTCCAAGCGTTGGGACGCTGGCGGGAACCCCGTCCAGGTACGCGCGACGCTGCTTCCCCGTGTCATGATAGCATGGTGCTGCGTGCAGTGTCGACTCGGAGTTGAATGGATTGTGCGCGCTGTACAAGTCCGTGTTGGCGGTCCACCACAACCAGTTTGACGACGCGCAAAAGTGGATCGACATTACGCGCAAGGAGGTCGACACAACGCTGGGGGCGCTGGTCGGGTACGCCGTGGACGGATGCGTGTGGGACGTGACGGCGGCGGCGTTAGGGAATCGTACTTGCGCGCGTACCACACGATGATTACGCTGCAGCAACTGAGCGAGCTGGAAGAAATCGTCGCGTACAAAAAGATCTGCATCCACAAACCGGACGAAGCGCCGGCGCACAAGCGGCACATGGTCCACATTTGGTCGCAGCGCCTCACGGGATGCAAGCGCGTCGTCGAAGTGTGGCAGCACGTGCTCGCCGTGCGGTCGTTGGTGCTGCGACCGCACGAAGACATTGACACGTGGCTCCAATTTGCCAGTTTGTGTCGGCAATCGGGCAACTTGGCGCTCAGTTTGAAAGTGTTTACCCATGCGCTGTCGGTCCGGTCGCTGCAACCCCACCAAACGACCACCCACGACGACTGGCGCGCGTCGCTGACACCGGTACGATGCGACTTGTGTTGGCGAGGGTGTTCATGAATCTGGCGCGCGGTCGTCGTAGGGGCCGTTTTCGTCGGTCGGGTACTCGGAAAACGACCCGCACCGCGTTGCATTTGCCTATCTGAAGCATCTGTGGGCGGTGGGCGACAAAGCCAAGGCGCTGCATGAGTTGGGGTCGCTTGTGCAAACGCTTTCCCGCCGGCCGTCGGCAGGTACGACAAAAACGTGTGCGGCGCACACGGAGTTTGTCGTCATGGACGCAGTAGTCGGGACGCAAGAGCTTGTCAAGTGCCAGTTGAAGTGGGCCGAGTGGCAGATGGCCATCCACGACCAGCAACTCGATCGGGTGTCGATTCCGGCGGTCCTCGCGGCCCTCAAACACAGCACGGAGCTCGACCCCACGAGCTACAAAGGTGCGTGGAGGCGACCCCAGTCGACAACGCGTCCATACTTGCGTCCATGTAGCATGGCACGCATGGGCGCTCATGAATTTTCAAGTCGTGGATCACCAGGCGAGTGCACTGGCACGCGATGACTCGTACGTGGTGTCGGCAATTGAAGGTACGATCGACTGTGTGCCGCGACTTGCACGGACGTTGATGATGGGCAGGGTTCTTTCGAAGCATCGCGCTCGGTCGATCGCGGTGGGCAGCCAACGTGCAGCAAGACATTTTGCGTGTGCTGACGCTGTGGTTTGCTCATGGCCACAAAACGGCCGTCTACGGCGCGCTGAAAGCAGGATTTCAAAGCGTCAACATTGAAACGTGGCTCATTGTGATTCCTCAATTGATTGCTCGGTACGTTGCGACGTCGTCGAGGTGGGGGTGGTGCGCTGACCCGAGTAGAATCCACTCGCCGCACGAGCGCATTCAAAAACAACTGAGCAACTTGCTGTGTGCGATCGGCGCCCAGCACCCGCACGCGTTGATATACCCGCTCAGTGTCGCGCTCAAGTCGCCGCTGGAGGTACGAGCCATGTGTGTGTCGTTTGAGAATGCTGCTGGGTGCATGCCAACCATGCGAAACGTTGTGTTGGCACTGTCGTCACGCGCGCGGCGCGTAGGTTCGCCAGAAAGCCGCCGAGGCGATCATGGACGTGATGCGCCGGAATTACAAGAATTTGGTCGACGAAGCGCTGCTCGTGTCGCGCGAGTTGATTCGGGTCGCGATCCTGTGGCACGAAATGTGGCACGAGGGGCTCGAAGAAGCGTCGCGGCTGTACTTTGGGGAGCACGACGTGGAAGGGATGATGGCGGTGCTCCAGCCGCTCCACGTCATGATGGAAAAGGGTCCGGAAACCCTTCGCGAAGTGAGTTTTCACCAAGCCTTTGGCCGCGACTTGAAAGAAGCGTACGAGTGGATTCAACGGTACTTGAACCCGCAGTACGGAGCCAACGGTGCGTCGATGCCGCGACGATCGCTGACGACCTTTTTTTGCAGAGGCGGACCTGAACCGCGCGTGGGACTTGTACTATTACGTGTTTCGACGGATCAACAAGCAGCTGCCGCAACTCACGACGCTCGAATTGCAATACGTGAGCCCGAATTTGCTCCAAGCCCACAACCTGCAGCTGGCTGTGCCAGGTACATGCTGGCGCCACGATGCCATCATGCGTCGTCGTGAGGTGTGGTTCCATAGGCACGTATCGCGCGGGTCATGACATCATCAAGATACGGTCGTTCGTGCCAACGATGCTCGTGCTCACGTCCAAGCAGCGGCCGCGGTGCGTCATATGCCGACGGGAGTTTTCGAGAACTCATGCTGCACGCAGGCGCATCACGATCCACGCGTCCAACGGCCTCGAGTACATGTTTTTGCTCAAGGGCCATGAAGATTTGCGGCAGGACGAGCGCGTGACGCAGTTGTTTGGCCTCGTCAACGCGCTCTTGATCAACGACCGCACGACGTCCAAGAAAGATCTCCGCATCACGCGGTATCCGGTGATTCCACTGAGCCACAACGCCGGGATTGTCGGGTGGGTCCCCAACTGCGACACGCTGCATCAACTCATCCGAGACTACCGCGAAGCGCGGAAAATTCTGTTGAATATCGAGCACCGGTACTACCGTGGTCGCGTGAAAACGGCATGGGATTTCCGTGCATGGCGTAGGCTGATGCTCCAAATGGCGCCCGACTACGACGTGCTGACGCTCATGCAAAAGGTCGAGGTGTTTCAGTGCGCGCTGGAAAACACGGCCGGGCAAGATTTGTACAAGGTGCGGCGGCCGTCGCCATGTCGGTGGTTGACAGGTCATCGTGTGTGTCCAGGTGCTGTGGCTCAAGTCGGAAAACTCGGAGATTTGGCTGGACCGGCGCACCAACTACACGCGGTCCCTGGCCGCCATGTCGATGGTTCGTGCGCACGGGATGTCCGAGCCAAATGCGAATGCGTCTTGAGTAGGTCGGGTACATCTTGGGCCTGGGCGATCGCCACCCGTCCAACCTGATGCTGCATCGGTTTACGGGCACGATCGTCCACATTGACTTTGGCGATTGTTTTGAAGTCGCGATGCACCGCGAAAAGTACCCGGAAAAAATCCCATTCCGCTTGACGCGCATGCTGACGAACGCAATGGAAGTACGTGGTGGTGGTGGCTGCGCGCGTGTGTGTGGGGCAACGATGGACTGGTCTGCCGTTGTTGTAGGTGAGCGGCATCGAAGGCAACTTTCGCTTTTCATGCGAAGCCGTCATGCAAGTACTTCGGGACAACCAGCACTCGCTCATGGCGATGCTGGAAGCGTTTGTGCACGACCCACTCATTTGCTGGCGCTTGGTATGATCGCGTCACACGGCGAACAATGTGTGGACGACATGACTGCTGTGTGTGCGTGTAGCTGGCCCCGAATGCGTCGCCGCCGCGGCTTTACGAAAACCACACGGACGATGCGCCGCCGCGTCGAGTACGGTCCAAATGCGTTGTTGGAGGGCATGCTGTCGCATGGACGGGCCGCTGTCTGCGGGCTTGGATCGTCGCGCTCATGAACGTTGTGTGGTAGGACCGTCGGTCGAGTGTGTCGATTGCTAGTCTCGCGATGCTGCAGCAAAACGACCCGCCCAACAACATCCATGTCGACATGTACCAGCTCGCCGCCAGCATGAGTCGAAGTGTTGCTGCGTCGGCAGCCGTCGACGCGAATGGCCATCCGTCGATCTCGTCGTCCCAAGTGTACGTATTGGCGGCGATCGCATCGGATGTGTCGACAGGATCGCCACCACTCGAACGAGTTGGAACTTGCGTGGTGCCGGAGGGATGCGCCACGTGGCGGGGTCGATGCGTGTGTGTGTGGGGAATGTTTTTTGGCGGGTTGTCGCGGACATGCTGACTTGGTTTGTCTTGCAGAGACCTGGAGCTACGGCGCAGCCACCGCGAGCGCGAACTCGTCAACGCGTTGGGTCCCGAAGGCGCTGGCGCCCCTCGCGAAGCCCTCAACGAAAAAGCGGTCGCGGTCACACGTCGGGTTCAGTCCAAGCTGACGGGCCGCGACTTTTTCGACGACGATTCCGAGCCGCTAAACGTGGCGGCGCAAGTCCAGCGGCTCATCACGCAGGCGGCTTCCCACGAAAACCTGTGCCAGTGCTACATTGGATGGTGCCCGTTTTGGTAGACATCGAGTAACCGGTCGTCGTTGCGATAGCCGGCGTGTTTATCGTTGTTGGCTTTCTTCCTCTGTCGGTTGTCAAAGACAACGTAGTCGAGCACGCATGGCAACGTCAAGTGGCGACCGCGCCAACCTTGGGCATGCATGTCGGCTTTCGTGGTTCGTTGGCGAGGGCGGACGGCATGTCATGGCGGCAATTGAGACCTCCATCGCATCCGCCGCGCCACGTCCTTTTTGCGATGGTCTGCATGGCGAGCGTGCGAGGCACTTGGAAGCGGCCATGAGTGCACCCCCACGTTGGACGGCTCGTTTCCCCGAGACCCACGAAGGTCACTCGAGGGCTTGACAGAATCGCAGGACGACCTGCGCACGACGCGTCCTTGCTGAGCTGGACAAAGCGGCGACCCACGGCGACGGCGCTGTGTGTTGTAGAGTTGGGATCGTGCCAATCCATCGGCACCAACGGAACGCGCTCCACACGACTGGCTCGTCCACACCGCGTGTGGGGATTCGACCAGGGAACGAACGAAAATGCTGCGGCAGGTTGTATTTGCCGCCACGTCGTCATTCGGAATGCCGTGTGTGCTGCGGGGTTTTGCCGATCGTGGGAGTTCGCCCGCCCCATGTTGCCCCACAGTCGTTCCTGGAAGCAGCGCATTCGTTCGGACAGGTCCAAAGTGTAAGGGGCCAAGGGGGGGACGGGTCGAATACCGCGGACGGGCGGCGTTTGGCTTGGTGCGGGACATCGTTGTCATCCAAGTCGTTTTTTCGGGGGAGAGGGCGTCGCGCCTGTGATGATGGACCTGGCTGTGCGAGCGATTCCAGTGTCAGGAGCCTTGTCCGCCCATCCAAGATGGCGATACTACGTTCGGCGCTCGTTGGCGGCAAGGTCGCCCGCGACATCCACCCGCATCCATCGCCAGCTCGCCGCACCGCTTTCGAACGCCAACGTTTGGATTTGTCCTGGAAAAACTTGCGGGTACGATGTGGACAAGTGCCTGGGGGGGTTCGAGCTCGCCCCTGCTCATTGGCCTTTGACACGTGGATGGCCACTCGTCGGTCCTGGATTCGCGCGCCTGCCTACAACCGATAGCTCGCTGCAAGCGCGCTCGTCCAACAGCGCCCTGCACTAAAAGTCCCTTTACCTCGAACGGTTGGCATGTTGGACAAGGCTCCGTCGCCAGCGAGCACGACCCATCCGTCAGGGGTGCTAAACACTTCTTGCCCGTCTCACGCTTCGGATGTCTCCCTTGCTAGGACAAGGTCGGCGCTCGCATCCTCGACAGCGAGCACGACTGTTTTCGTCTTGACCTGGACACAAGCACGTCCTCTTGCGACTGGCAAGCTGGTTGACGCATCTCGCAGAGCAGGCCGCGCAGTGGCGGACCTCTTCTGCTGCGAACGTGCACAATGGCCCCCGTTCATGTCAAAGAAAGCCAGGTATGGATGGCGAGGATGCACAGACATGCTCGACGCCGCCATCGTCTCAAGATATCGCATCACCCTCGCCAGAGAGAGAGGCCCCAATACCCCATCCATCGCCCTAGCGACGGCACTGTCAACGTCATGTCTTCCCCGCCGACGCCATCGCTCCGACTCGGGCCCCTGCAGCCGCTCGGCAGCATCGCATATCTTGAAGGGGCACGATTTCGCCCAGTCGGATCCGGATATTGCCGCACGTTTCCGGATGCCCTGAACTTTCGAGATGTCCGACAGCGACGTCAACGCGGGGACCGAGGCGGTCGCGCACGACGAAGACAATGAGCCGTACGAAGTGCTGTACGAAGGAATGGTGAAGCGCAAGTCGGGCGCTGGTCGCACACTGTACGTCAGCCTCCATCGGGCGCTTGTGACCTCCACTCGTCGGAGTAGGAAGCCATGTCTACTGCGCATCTACGCCGACGGAGTCGTCGTTGACTTGGGCGTCCAACGAGAGTACGCTCTACTTGACGTGGCGGAGTGGCAGATCGACCGTAAGAAGATCAAGGACGCTACCCTGACGGACGCCGGTCTCCGCGTCGACTGCCGCGGCGACGAAGACCGCGTCGTCACGTTGTGGCTCGTCCTCCCATCCGACCAAGAGCGACACAAGTGGAAAGTCTTCCTGATGGCAGCTTTGCACCCAAATAGCAAGGAAGGCCAACGCGTGCGGCAACTGGTTGCGCAGGTACGAACCGCAGTCGACGTCGTTCAGCACATATCTTGACGGCCATGTTCCGTAGCAACGCCAGCAAGAAAAGGTACGTGTCCGCCCGTCGCAGGGCTAGACCTTCTCCCAGCCGCGTCGTTTTGAACAATGCACTCGACGCTCCAGTTGCTGCCACATCGAACCCCGCGGCTTGCTCGCTTTCGCAGATCCTTGACGATCACGGCATGGTGTTTGTTGCTTGTAGATCCGCATCGCAGAAATCGAACGCACGCGCGACGCCATGGCGCAAGCCCAGAGTGCGTGCATGCACCGAGTGCGTCGTCATGTGACTGGACCGTAGAGCCGCTGAAGAAGAAAACACCGGGGGTGGCGATGAAATCGACGCGCGCGCTGCTGGCGCCAGCGAGTCCGGCGCCGAATCACGCTTCTGGATGGCAAAAGTTTACGAGCGACGATGGCCAAGAGTACTATTACAACGCGGTTCGTGCGAATCCGTCCTCTCGGGCGTCCAAATTCAAAGCTCTGTTGCAAGTGGCATGTCAACTCGGTCGATCTCACGTCGTCCTCGTGCGGCTGCTTTGTCCAGATCACACAGGAAAGTCGGTGGACGTTGTTAGGCGCTGGTCCCCTGCCGCGATCCAAGAGTGGAAGCAAGGCCCGGCTCGACCAAACCGGCGACCGGCGCCCGCGTAGCAGCAAGAAACGAGCCGACGGGACGCGTCGAAAGAAGGCAGACGACACACAGCCACGACCCGTTGTCGAGGCTTCATCGAGTGGCTCGGATGACGTGTCGAAGCCCGACGATCGCGCGATCAAGCCAACGGTCGAGGACGTTGTCGATCCAGCGTTCGCTCGGTTGGAAACGAGTCGTCGCATGCTGGTTGAAGCGACCGACGCACCAGACAAGCAAGGATCATGCCAGGAGGAGGTACGATGGCGCTGCCGTGTGTGGTCGGAACTGTCATGTGCGCCACCAGAAGTGCAGTCATCGAGACATTGTACAACCTGTTGATGGCTTCCGATCTAGGACGGCCCAGGAAAACACAGCGACGTCGCGAATGCGTTGGAGATGATGCTGGGAAGGTACGTCTAGGCCATGTTGGGCACGTTTTCTCCATGTGGCTCGCAGGGGGCGTCCAAAGCCCACCACAACCGGCTCCACGCAAGGCGACGACGTCGGGCCTGTGATCCCTGGTGTCGACCATCTCACGCTGGACGATCCGAACTTCACGACCGCGGAACGACTTCGGGTACCATGGAAATTGCTCGCCACCACGATTGTGGCGTCCGCCAGTGTGATCATGACGATGATGGCGCGGACGAGTCGATGGGGTGATGCAACTGACGCGTGTGGGTCTGTCTAGATGAAGCGGCAGCAGCGGCAGCATCAAATGGTCACGGCCGATGACGAGACCGACTTGTTTTTGCACACGTTGGCCGCCAAGGCCAAGCAAAAGAACGCTCGCACGACAACGGTCGAGGATGCCGCCGCGCCAGGAAATCCCGATCCGTTCCAGTTTCCGTTGGATGCATGGCTCGACGTCGAGCAAGAGATCTTGTTCGAGCCCAGTCCCTCGCCAACACACAATGGCAGCAGCATGACGACGGTCCGTGTGGAGCGCGCCCTGTCTGTGTAAACATGGACGTGTGGCCGAGATTTGTCACTGAAATCGAGTCGTGGCTGGGTATCGATAGTGTCTCAAGTGGTGGTGGTGGGGATAGGTCGGGCACGTGCGTTTGGATGAAAAGGGCACACGCAAGAAGAAATCCAAACCAAAGTCGACACGTGCCGCCGCGCCGCGTCGACCCCCGCAAGCGCCCCCGACGACGCCACCATCCCAAACAAACGTGTCGTCCGAGGTGCGCGATCACCCGTCTTCCTTGTACACGTGTGTGTGTGTGTCTTTGCCCTGAAAAAACTGTGCTCGGCCATGGCAGGACAAAGCCATGGCGCGAGTTGTCGCGCCAAAGGCCATCCACGCAATGGTTCGACAACGTCGTTGGGATATCGACTACGCTGATTTTCGCCGTGGTAGTCCCAGCACGGCAAGAAGCCGACGAAAGCAGGAAGGGCTGCGGACGCCGCTGCTGCCATGACGTCCAAGCGAAACCCGCCACCGAAACGAATCCACATCTTGAGCGACTCGACGGACTCCGACTCGGTATACACTTTTCTCGTCTGTTTTACGCTCCAAGCACTGTCGAGATGTGTTTCAACACTCCGTGGCAATCGCGCTAAGGTCTCGTTGCAGGCGCCATCCCGTGCCGCTACCCCTCGAGCCGTCGTACGTGCCATCGCGAAACACCCCCGGCGACATGAACATGCCATGGTCAGGAGGACAGCAGCGCAGCCACGTCAGCACAATCCGCCGTGGACTGGTCGCGACCCCGTGCTGGTCCAGGCGCCGCAAGTGGCCACCACGTACGACGAGTCGGCATTCCTCGCCGCACTCGATCCGTATTTGACGTGAACTTTGGTTTAGAACGCGCCATCGTCGACATGGACCGCCCCCGACGACGGCAAAGAGTACGATTCCAACTCGTCAACGCAGACCAGCGTCTGGGACAAGCCGATCGAGTGGACGGCGCAGCAGCACGTGCCGGTCGACGCGCTGTCTCTCGTGCACGAGCGCACCACGTCGCACGAGTTGCCGACGACGACGACGTTGGCAGCAGCGATCGCCCTTCTTCCACCGCACATCAAGATCGACCCAACCATTTGTCCGCACTGCCACGCCGCCAGGCCGACCCAACGGTGATGATGATGCGTTGTCGTGTGGTGCTGCTGACGTCGGTCGTCGTCCAGATGTGTCGACTGCGAATCGATCTTTTGCGACGCGTGCTGCGCGACCCATCATCGTCGGTACGGCTCGATGGTCAACCACACGATCGCATTGCTGTCCGGTACGCTGCGTTCTTGCCCGTGGTGGGAATTCAAATGTGCATCTCGCAGCGCCGTACTGCCACTCGTGCCAAGCGTCAAGCGCGACCCAAACGTGTGTCGAGTGCCGCGTGCATTTGTGCGACGCGTGCGCGTCCTTTTTACACCGAAAACGTCCCAAACACTTGCACAAGCGCGTGCCAGTGTCTCAGCACACGTACGTCTGATGGCAACGCGGCGGGGTGCATGTTGATGCTGGAATGTAGCGCTGCGCCGCCGCTTGCAATTCAAGACGGCGGAATTCCCATGCACCAAACGCACGCCGAGCCCATGGTAGTTGTATCGCCGCCACAGGCGCTGCTGTACCAGCCACAGCGTCAGCCTTTTCACGCGCGTGATACCGCAGCCGTGTCGCCAGGCGGAAGGCACGGCGTCACGACGGCCGTCGTGGTGGCGGCTGGTCCGTCCGCGCCGTCGATGGCCGTGCCTCACATGCCTCGTTGCGCCACGTGTGGTGGCTGGGGTGTCGATTTCATCGCGCCGTCGCGCAGGTACGGGCCAACGTGACAGAAACCCTCCGAGGAGTGGTCTGTCGACTGTTCAAGTGGAGACTGAAGGTGTCCTGGCTTTAGGACGTGCGACCACTGCGATCGGCTGGCGACGTTCCAGCCGCAATTGAAACTCGGCGACATCGACTGGGACGAAGGCGACGAGGAAGACGGCGGCGACACAGCTCGGGCTTCGTCCAGTAGCAGTAGTAGTGGGTGGGAATAACGTGCCATCGCTGGCGTCCTGTACTGCACAGCGCCGCCGACCCTTGACGGCGCTGCATCATCCATCCAGTTGAATATGGGCCGCTTGCCCATGCACGTCCAAGGGTCCAGTGCTGGCATCAAAGCACGGAATCGGTCGGGGTCCGTCCATGCTGCGCCGTTGGTGACGCCACGACCTACGTGGGGTGATCGGGTGGCGCGTCGCCATCGCACCGCATGCCGTGGTGCAAAACCTACCTTGGCCACACCAACGACGTGCGTTGGAGAGTTTGAGGGGGCATGCCGACGATCCGTGGCAGCAGCATGGGGTGTTATTTCTCGACCGAGATGGTCCCGTCTCGATCGTGTTGGTGCACCCCCCGCCATGGAAAACTTGTGCACAGTCCTCGTCGAATTCCACGCGAGGCGCACACCATCGCCCAGCCGACTTTTAACTTTTACATCACCCCCGACCAAAGTCCCATGAAAATCCTTTCACCAAAAGCATCGTTGCATGCCCTGTGGGTCCACGGGTTCGTGCCCACTGCTCCTGGGCACTTGCGCGTCCATGAGAGCCGGGCGAACGATCCAATTTGTCAACGCGCTTGCGTCAAGAGCCTGCGTTTCCATCACAACGGGATGGATCGACACGAAGCGGCGGTCGTTCAGGTGTCGCGGGGGAATTTTCACGCGCCAACTCGATGCCGCTTCCATGTATATAGAGCGAACGCAGGAGCGCCGTGGCTTTGCTGAATTCAAGTAGACGAACCTCTTGATATGGGGTAGATGATGGCGCTGGACCATCCAGCACGCTGCCGGCTCGAACGACGTCTCGAGCAAGAACGCAACGGTGTTGCCATGTCGACAAGGAACGGGATGGCTCCGGCGATATCGTCGAGTGGTGCGTTTGGCGATTCAGCTCCGACATCCACCCGTTCCCTTTGGCTTTCGTGCGCCGGCTGCCCCGTCGGTGCTGCCACTGGATATTTGCCGCCCTGGCTACATGTGGCGGCGCTCCAGCCGGTTTGGAGCGTCGTGGAGAGGACACGTTAGTTCACTCGGATCCTCCGTCCGACGAGAGAGAAAACAACTGCGAGGCGCAGTGGCGTGAACGAGTCGACTCACGATGGATCGAAAATTAAATCAAGCCAAACTCGTCAAAGTCGAGTTCGTCCGTGAGGGACTTCATCAGGAGTTCGTCGTATTGACCAGGCACGGCGTGCTGCGACGATTGGTGATGGTGCAGTTGCTGAAACATTTGGGCAGGTGGCGGTTGGAGGTGCATTGCTGGGGGATAGTGCGCCGTGTACCCCGATGAAGGCACGTTGTCTGCCTTCCCGAGCATCTACCGAATCCCACAAATGAAAATCCAATCGCCAACGTGACAACAGGTCCACACGCACCATGTCGTTCGAGGAATACCCGCCAAGATACGGCGCGTTCAGCAACGCTGTATGGGACCCGTTGAAATCCGAATAGTCGGCGGCCCAGTTGGCCATCATGGGGTCTGTTCGGCCGCCGATATGTTGTTGCGGATGGGACGAGTGATGCAGCTGATGCGTCGAACTCAAGTTGTGTGACGTTTGAATGTGCCTGTGGCCGTCGAGCAGGCCCGTGTTGCCATAGTTGGTGGATTGGTGGAGCTGGGACGTGTGCACGTTTTGCTGGTGATGATGCAAATTCATGCGGCGGCTCTGGGCGTTGGCGGCGGCGGCCCGAGTCGGGTTTTGCTTCAGGGACTTCCATCGGATTTTGACCGAGTCCTCTGTTCGACCGGGCAACATCTGAGCAATTTGGGACCACTTGTTGCCGAGTCGCGCTTGGTTGGCAAGAATCAAGGCGTCTTCGTCCTCAGCGTACGGCCCCTTGTTAATGGACGGGTCAAGATGGTTGCGCCAGCGCTCGCGGCACTGCTTGGGTGTTCGCCCAGGAATTTGCTCGGCGATCTGACCCCAGTTGTTGGTGCTCTGCTTTACCAAGTCCTCCAGCATCTTGTCCTCCTCAAACGACCAATGGCCCTTGACCAGACCAGGCTTGAGCACTTTGCGCCACCGCTGCAAGCACTACAATCGCCTCGTCATTCTGTGCCAACACTGACGCTGCCATACATACCTGTGCGTGGTTTCGACCGGGTACTCGCTCGGCGATGGCCTTCCAGTTCTTTTCACCGTGAATGTGGACGCTTTCCTTGAGCGCGGCGTCCTGCGCTTTCGTCCATCGCTTCGTTGTCGGGGCATCTTCATTGGGGTCCACCTACACATGCATCGACTCAACACGTGATGTTTCTGCACATGTGGTGGCGGAAATTCGACGGCTTGCCACCAAGCAGACCCACTAATCCACTGTCGTTCGTCGTAAATTGGAAAAAAATGTCCAACATCGCAGTCACGCTTGGCAAGAGTCGTGCAGCTCAGCACGGTGGCCCTGCCACGAAACGACATCGAATACAAAATGAATGCTGATGCAGCAGCACGCCACACGAGAACGTGATAGCATTGACAAATGGCTACATGCTTGGCCACGATGTGTACCTCGGTGCTGCCATCGGGATCGGGTGAGTTTTCTGCTTCGACTTCGTCGTCCTCGTCTTCTTGATCTTCATCCGACGAACCTTCTTCTCTAGTGCGCTGTGCAGGGGTGGCTTCGCCCTTGAGCAGCTCCCAGTTACTGTTGGGTCGCTCGCGTTTGCTGTTCGGCACCGACGTGCTTGAGATGTGTCACAGAATAGAGGAGAAATGAATGTCGTCTTACTTGATCATCCCGTCGGCCTTGACCGCGCCGACTTGTACCGACGACGACCCAGAGTCCTCTTTCTCCTCTTCCAACCGCTTCAATCGAAGCTCCGACTCGCCAATGTGCGCGTTGTCGAGCATAGTTCCCATGGATCGAATGTCCTCCGTCGTGATGTTTTTCATCGACGACTGGCGGGACCCGGACCGTTCCAATCTCGCTCTATGCGATTCATCACGTCCCATCATCGTCGTCACGTTCTATGCAACCTACCGCGCGTCGCCGGTCACCCCACTCGCCGCTTGCTGTGCCTTCAACCGGTCAAATTTCTCACGCAACGACACTATAAAGCGCTTCTTGGCAGCCACAGGTGAGTCCATGAGAGCCTGGATGACTCGAAACTTCTTCTCTTCCTTGAGTTCCAGTAGGTACGTGGACAACATGTTACTTTCTTCGGCCGACAAGCCCGACAAGCATCGGAAGAAGGATCCTGACGCTTCTGGTGGCAACGACGTGATCAGCGCATTAAACACGTCGCCAAAACTTCCCGCCGGCGGCGGGGACGATTCGGCAGCATCCGCCATTCTCTCCCTCTTTTTTAAAATGGCTTTTGGCAGCCGAGTGGCCTCATTATGCGGACTATTATCCGGACTCCGCCGAAAGAAACGTTTGAAACACTACGAATCTAGCAACGCACGACCGCGGCGGGGATTCCATGGGTGGAAATCCAACCAGTCTCCGACAGCGCCAAGCCATTCCATCGTGTACAAGGGCGAGGTGCGCCAACGCGGACATGATGGGTGCAACAATCATTCCGGGATTGTGGTGTCGTGGTGCGCCAAACGTTTGAGTCGCGTTTCGTACATGCGTTTCGAACAGCCCACGCGTTCCGCACCCGTCTATGTTGGTTCGACTCTGGTGGGCAATTCTACTTGGCTTCAGTATGCCCTACCATGTCACTTGGGTTTTGTATACCCCAACATGGTGACGGCACCGGGGCGGGTGGGCAACGCGCGGGGGGCGCGCTCGTACAAACACAAAGGCATGGTCTCTTGCATGTATACTGCCGCCGATCCAGTGCGCGCCAGCGCGCTCCCGTGGTAGGACGACCAACGTGGCGGACGCCCCACGCATCGGGCCTCGAGTGGAAAAACGGCAGGTTCGTGGATGCAATCGCGAGGGTCGGTCGGTCGTCGTTTCAAAAGCTGGAAAAAGCTCGCCAACCATGTTTTCGCGCCATGGCTGCAGCCACGCCGACGGCGCGCGTCCCAACGCGGCGAGCCCAGATCTAGTCGACTGGGACAGCACAGCTACGTATTGGAACAACCACGGCCGTGTCGCGCGTGTCAAAACGAAGTATACGGCATTTTCGGGTATTCGTTTTTACAGGATTCGGACGGGGCATTGCACAGTCCTCATGCACATAGGAAGATATCGAATTTACGTGTACATGCGAAATCAAAGGTTTTCGTGGTCGACCCGTCACGGTTCAAACGGCGCCGCAGCGCCACCGTGCGCGACGAACGAACGCTTCTGCGCTTCTTCCTGAGCTTGCAATCGCTCCTCGAGCTGCCGATTGTACCTACCACAGGGATATGATCGGCGTGGTGGCGCCATGTCGGAGCGGCCGTACAATTCAAGGTCTTTCAGTCGAACACACACTTCGCGGGCCTACGGTGCACGCAACGTGAGCAAATCCCCCAACGGTCTCTTGGGGGCGGCACCTCGGCCAATTGCATCGACAGCTCACTCAACCGCACGTGCGTCGCGATGTCGTGGCGCTCTCTCTCGGCTCGTAGCCGTTCGTTTTCCGCTTCGACTTGTGCGAGCATGCGTTCCGACAGGCGGCATTGCCCTACACATTCCGTGCGACGCTCGAACCGACGACAGCATGCCCAACACACCCCGAAGCTGCTCGATTTGGTTTTCCAACCGACTGGTCTGGTCGACGACGCGCTTCAACTCCTGCGGCGCCGAGCCATTAGCTCGTCCTCCACCCACGTACTCCACACAAACTTGGTTTTCCGTGAGCACGCGCTTGAACTGGTGCAGCTTGTGTCGGCTCTCGTCGACCAATTGCATCATGGTGTGCCGATCGGCCACGAGTTGCTCGAGTTGCCGACATCGCGTGGCTTGGTCCGTCAGCAACTCCCGCACTCGATGGTCTCGCTGGCGGTGACGACGAGCTAGCTTGTCAGGTGGTTGTCGAATATCGTGCCATACCTCCGTCAGGCGGGTTTCCAAGAGGCGTGTCTCGGCTGCGGCGACGTGAAACAGCAATGTGTGCATCCAGATCTGCATGGCGCGCCGCAGCCGTGAAACGTACAAGTCTACCACGTTGTGGTGAGTTCCAGCATCTCGGTCGATGATTGAATGTGCTGGATCGTCGCCAACTCGTGTCGTACTTGTAGTCAAGCGATGGAGGAGGCGTCGTTGAGCGCTGTATTCGTGGAGACGGTACGTCCATGCGCTCCACGCGGCCCGCAAAACGTGGCGATGTGTCTGCGCCAGCGATCGCGTTTCAACCAGGTGACTTGGTTGGGGAGAGAGGCACCTCGTGCTGTCGAGCGATGGCCACAAACGCGGACCGCCACACGGTCCACTGGTTGTGCGCAACCTAGACAGGTTGAATCGCCATTCAAAGCTCGGTAAATGCACTCGCACGCGTTGTTGGGTTTGGTTGCGCAGCCGCTTGCATTGCCGTGCGAGGTGCTGGCGCATCCGAGCTCGGACAGCCCACGGCCGCCACACATTCCACAGGCATGTCGTCGTCGACTGGTGGGTCCACCGCGCCGCGACGACGCGCAGTTGCTTTTGCAAGTCAATTTTGGCGCACCACACGCGAAACACCGACAACCTACGCACGTGTATCAGCATCGTTCAAGATGCAAAACGAGCTGTACATGGTGCGTTGCATGGCCATGGCAAACAACCGGAGGCAGGCGGTCGATCGCTTGGTCCACGATCTCCAGTGGGAAAACGACCTGTGCAGCCGCATGACGGACACGTGGTTGGGTCAGGTACGAACCGAACCAAATTGCCCGAGCGCAGCGTCGTGATGACGCGTTGAAGCACGCGATTTGCGTTGCGTCGATCGATGGCGGCCGTCCGCCACACCTACAAAACCATCTCTCACGCGACTCGAACGTGTGGCTTCGCCAACTTGGAAAAGGTGTCGACACTTGTCACGGCTCGCGTGCCGTTGGACGCGGTGGGTCACGGCCGAAACGAGCTTTTGCATCGACGCTCCTGTGGCACATGGAGCCATTTCAGGCGTCGCGGCGTTTGTGTTTGCAGCTCGTCCAGCGTTCGTACCGTCCTCCACCAGCGCCCGTTGTCGAGCCGCCATGGTCGCCTGCTTCCACCTGAACATGGATCGACGCGCGGTTTGAACGATCGTCGCCGTGCGAAAAACGACACACACCGTTGAAACAACGACTGGCGAAGAAATCGACGGGCGTGGTGGCCCCACATGCGGTGCATCAAGCCCTGCCATCCACGAGCGTCAAGGTTGGTGGCAATTTCGCGCGCGAAGTACCTCGGACACTTGTCCTTGCGATTTCCACGTGGCAAAGCAGTGCCGTGTGGCAAGCCACTGCATCGTGCGGCGATTCACGTCGACGTTGACGCCGCAGACCACACCCAATTCGACCAGGCGCTGCCTCCGTTGGCCGTGCACCCAACCTATTCAACCCGCACGGGGCCGTTGGAAATGATTCCACGAGTCCCACAACAGAACGACGCGGGGACGCCGCCATATGTGACGTACGCGTCCACTGTTGAAACGAATGGCCGCAGCGTCGTCTTGCGACTTGATGCGAAGTTTGGACGTTGCGGTGGTGGAGATGCAGTCGCCATTGGCGCAATACGCGCGCTTGAATGTCCTTGGTCACGACGCGCAGGCGAGTCCACTTTCGGAACCACACGTGGAGCTGTCACCACGTTGTCAGGGGGGTTCAAGCTGGTCGATGGGGCTCCGCACCCGTTGAAAATTCGTCCACTTCAGGTCGTGGGCGCTGTTGCGGCGTTCGAGCTCCGCCACATGACGATACTGCCGCCACTGCGCCCAACTTGCCCACAGCAGCATGCGATCCCGATGTGCATCTCCTTGCTTGGTGTGAAGCTTGACAGCGCGGAGGTGGTGGAAGGCTCGCCGCTTGCGTTTAAGAAGTGCGAGTTGCCACATTCTACCGGTGGCCGCACATGACCATCCATACCACAATTTTACAAAGGCGGGTGTGTGTCCATATTCGATCCAAGTCTCGAGCCATACCTGATGGTAGCTTTGGCGCCGTACACTCGACCCGCATCAGCTTCGACGCGGGCAAGTTGGGTTTGGTGAGATACCGTGACGGACTAACTCGCGGGCTCAAGTCGCACACACGTTGAAACACTCGGCACGGCCCAACTCGACACGAATCAAACGCCCCGAGCTCACGTACATGCAGTCGCCACTGCAGAAACCCTTGTCGCACCGAGCACACTTGCATTCGTCGCACGACGGACAAAATGGTGGCACGTTTTGTCTACACCAGGACAGCGACACTCAGCGTTGGGAAAGAACGTCGGGGATGGTTTTGCCTTGTCTGTACGCAACTGGCATGTCCAAAGCGTCCACGCCTCCCGCGCTTGGTTCCTGGAATAGCTGGCACACGCAGACGCAAACCGTCCAAGTGCTCGACGCAGTTTGCGATGGCGCAGGACGTTGCTTTGCAGCTACGACAGTCCCTTTGCCAGTGACTCACCAGCTGCCATTGCGTCGGCGCAGTACCCGAATGAAAACGGCCAACTTGGTCGTTCGACGGCATCCTACAAGCCCGACATGATGGCCATCCTTCCACGCGCCATGCATCGGCGTTTGGCATACCCACGTTGCTCACGGATTGCAAGACTCGGTCGACGTGAGCATCGTATCGAATGCGCGCCCACGTGTGTATGCAGCGCCGTGTTCGGAAAGCCTACCATGCCCATGGATGACGTCAAGTGGATTCGCGTGGTCGTACCTCCAAGTGCACCTCGATTTGTGTGTGCCGGGCTTTCACTTGGCGCTGCACGCGCACCCATTCGCGCCACCGCTACATCCCGTGGTGTAATTGCCAGGACGCCGTCACTCGTGCGATCGTGGTCGTACGTGAAGGCGCAATCGCTCCTTCCATTCGCTTAAGCGCTTGTGCAGCCAACGATGGCCCAGCGTTGCCTAGTCGATGGTTCACGCGATGGAACATGCCATCGTCACCAGGACAACGAACGAATTGAACCGACCTGCCGCCACCGTCGAAACTGACGTCGTTGGTGTTGAATCAAATGTTTTCTCTGCACTATGTCAGCACGACGTTGACAAGCAATCTTGCACGTAGACATAACGCAGGATGCACTCACGTTGGACAAGACCACGCCCTTTGAGCTGCAGCAACGCGATGGCTGCTACCACTGAGACGACCACGACCTTCGTCAGAAGCGAACTCATCGCCGCATTCCTTCTTACGTCGATCTTTGGGTTGAGGTGTTAAAATCCAGTCCATGTACATGGGAGCGCGGGCTACAATGAGAGCGTATTGCACAACTTGCTGCTTCCACCGAAGGAATCCGGTGGCAAGCGCGCGGAATCGATGGATGCGACAGAGGTGGCGACAGGCTAGCGCAAACTGGCCGGACACTTGGCTCTGAATAAGCCACACGCCAATCTTCCTGCCACAACGATCAGCAACGATCGAGACCACGAGCACCTACTCCAATCGCGTCGAAAGTTCGCGCTGACGGGCTGCCATGTCGTCGAGTTGGGCATGGCACGTCCAACGAGCTAGCGCCCGACAGAGCTGCTGGCGTACATAGTGCTCGTGAATGTATACCAAGGGAGTGAGTTTAAGCCGCATGTAGTACTTGATCTCAGGCAGTAAGTCCCGATACTTGGCGTAGTAGAATTGCTTGTCCGAGGGCATGTTTCCGTCGATGGCCGCGTGGTGTCGCAATCGTTGCGGTGGGATTCAAAAACCTTCGCTACACGCCTTGGAACTCGTCGAAACGCTTGACGAACATTAGCCCGACGGAGGTTGAATCGAGTATTGCAGAATTCAACACTGGCGATTTCCAACTTACAATCGAGACAACAGGGGGACACAGGAGAGCGTAAGCCATGCAACTACTAGTATTCTTGAAGGCCTTGCCAACATGAACCTCTTCTCCATGTTCCAACAAATAGACGCACAAAAACTAGAAAAAGGAGTACCAACTGCCGGGATTGAACCGGCGACCTACTCGGTGTAAACGAGATGTGATAACCACTACACCAAGCTGGCACTTATAATTTCAGATGATTATATTATAATCAGTTAGATCAGTTTGGGGCCGTCTAACTCTATGTATGTAGATAACCTTACAGTTAACATAGAAACCCTTGAATTTTCGGTGATAATGATTTTTATCATTATTTTTTTTACTAATGCCAGCATTTTAAGTTCTGATATTTTCACAAATCATGATGTTACCGATCGATGTGCTTCGTTCGAGCCATCAAGGCTTGGACAAGACCACTCCAGTGCAGGTGCATATGTAGCTTCGTGAAGGCAATCCCCTGGCCGTAACTTGCTACTACTGTGTTTCAGAATAGGTTTCACTTTGTAGTTCCTATTGGCGGCACTTTTCTCATGACCGCAGCTGATTGGTCGACGAAGAAGCGCGAGACCTCAGCTGCGACCGGACGCATTCAGCGCCTTCCGGTTCGTCATGGTGTTATGTCGTGCCAAAG